AAAGATTTGACAAGACCACGAATTACGATATCGACGACCACTGAACCATTCCAATACAATCACGCTGAATGAGTCTATTGAATGAATATGGAGCGTGTTAGAAAGGATTAGAACAAATGTGCTTAATATTTTTCCAAAAGGAGGGGGGAAGGGAAGGAGCTTACAATCTGTACGCTACAAGTCCCCTTTTGAGGAAAATGAAAATGTTCCAAATCAAGGTAAAGAATCAATAGCCAACGATTATTCGACAAATGCATTTGAAGAAATCCATTGTTCCAATAGGAGACCCGCCTGTGTCTATATTACCACAGAGAAGATTCCGTCTCAAATGTTGCAAATGCAACAACAACAAAACTAGGACCAATCAAAATCAAACAAAACATTATGCTTTTGAATTTTGAAATCTGCAGAGCGTACTGAAAATTGTCTCTTCATTTCCTAGACTTTATTCCAGAAGGAAAACCGCAGGCTATAATCAGTGATGATGACCATCGTCGTCATGTCCATCGGGAGATCCTCCAGGTCCCACCACTTCAAGCTGTGAAACAGCAGATTAAATATTAGGGATTCTGATTGCTGAATGCTGATAAAAACTAAAGCTAAAATTCCATACTATGAACTTTTTCTCTGTGAAAAGAAAATGAAGTTGGGAATATGACCCCCTCGGGATATGCTTGAGTTGGAAGGTATATTAACCTTTAAAATAAAGCATTATGATCCAACGGTTTGCTAGAATATCCAAAATGTAAATCAGATTTACATAACATGCAGAATCCAGACGAAATCAAAAATTGAAATATTTTATTTAGAAAGACCCTAATCAACTTAAGAGTGGACAATATGCTAATCTGAGTAATAAATAACAGATGTACTTTTTTAATATAAATTATATCTGATATTTTGATAAAGGAACCAGGGTACAACCATAAACATTCATAGTGCATGCCATCTTTAACATGTTTCTACTGAAGTTTGTCAGGCCTTCTAATCTGTGGATATGAATTAGCTAGAGAATTCTTCTAATCTGATTCTGCAACTTAACATGACCCGTTTAGTTACAAGTTAATTTTTCAGTCCCTGAAGCAGGAGGGAGGTAGGGCAGGGTAAGAGGTTTATAACAATTACCTCAAAATACTGTGAGCAGACTGGGCATTCATGTGGCTTTCCTTTCTCCAGCCAAAACCAGACAACATCATGCTCATCCTCTGCAAAATTAAAGACGAATCACA